GACATATTGTTTTCCATGGTGGTTGGACCATTTTCCATTCCCACTAGCAGTGTGTAAGAGTTTCAATCTCCACACAACCTCTCAAACACTTGCTATTTTCTCTTTTGATTAGTGCCAGTAATGTCGGGGTGAGATGGTATATCTCAATGTAGTTTTGATTTGCAGTTTTCTAATGGCTAATGATCGTGAACATTTCCTCATGTCTGTTAACCACCTGAAAGTTTTCTTTGGTGAACTGTCTGTTCATATCCTTTGCCCATTTTTTAATTGGATTGTCTTTTTGTTGTTGAGGTGTTGCAGTATCTTGTAGATTTTAGAGATAAGACCCTTGTTGGATATGTCATAGCCAAAAAATTTTGTCAGTCTGCAGGTTCTTTTTACTCTTTTGGTGAAGTCTTTTGATGAGCATAAGTTTAATTTTTAGGAGCTCTCAGTTATCTAGTTTATCTTCTGGTGTTTGTGCATTGTTAGTTATGGTGTGTATTCTCTTTATGCCATGTATTAGGGCCCCGACCGTTGTCCCTATTTTTTCTTCCATGATCTTTATAGTTTTAGGTTTTCTATTTAGGTCTTTGATGAATTTTGAATTAAGCCTAAGGGATTTTTAAACAGTAATGTTGACAACATGGGCTTTGTGCCTCTCACTCACTTTAGACTCCAATCCTCTCAACAGACAGGACTGTATCTTGTGCCCCTGACCCCATCTCTCTCCAATCCCTCACCACTGCCAGATGATGAGGTGGGGCCAGCAACAGCCAGGCTAAGGTTTGGTTTCAGGTAGGCTTGTTTGTCTTTTGTATCTCAGATGATACAAAGCAGCTCATCACTGGAGCCACCAGCCAGGTTTCCAAGACGCAAAAATGATCTTGTCTCACCCTTGCTCATAATCCTTCAACGACTCTTAATTTCTATATTTTAAGATCCAAATGATTTTGTGTTACATTTCCAGCCTCATTTTCTATGGACTGCCTTTCTCCTCCCCTGTGTACTAGCTATTGGAACAGTTTCCCACCCACTACTCCCATTTATCTTTCAGGAGCAATCTTTTCTTTCAAGACATCCTTGACTTCCTCCCACCCCAAATTATTCACTCTTTCCTTACTGCCATCTCTTTTAGAATACTTAACATACTATCTTCTCATTACTTGGACTTGTCTTGCTTGAGAGCAAATTTTCGCACCCTAGCTCTAGCACAGTACATATTAGGCTGAATGAATGAATGAGCATGGAGGCTCCTTTTCCTGGATCAGGCCTTGGACTGCCAGAAAGGGCAGAGCAAGCAGCTGAGGTGAACGGGGACGGGCTGGCAGTGGCTGGAGCTTGTGCAAACCCTGCCAAGGTCTGCACAGTCCAGGCAATTTTGTTGTGACCACAAATTTACTCTTGAGCATAAAAGCGCATGACCAAGTTGAGAAGAAAAGGCCATCTTTCCTAGGCAATGTTTACAGTGCATCTCCTAGAATCTATTTGGTCAACGGCTTCATGAATGCGTAAACCTGATTTACTTATTGTGGTAGATTTATTTTCATCAGGTGGTAAACCTAAAATGAAAGAATACCACCCTTCTAACCCGACTCTTAGGACAATTTGGATATATCAGGATTGGGGTTCTGTCTCCCCCGAACTCCTATTTAGCAACATCATAAAAGATCATCTCTGATCCTGAACCACACTAGGTTGTTGAAACTTGATGGGCAGTGGTTAAAACTTTCCAGGGCAGCGGCTCCACTTCAGGAACAAGCATGTCCTGCCTTCTGGGCGCGGGGGTGGACACCCCAGGCGTCCTGGGGAGCAACCTGGAATCTTGTGCATTTGGCCTCTTGTCCTGGCTGGGGAGGCCCTGCATGTGTCAAGCAGTCTTGCCCTGCAGAAGTATGCTCTCAAGGTGTGGCCTAAGTGAAAAAAAGAAACAAGATGAAGCCTCAAAGGTCAGCCCCATTGTGGCTATCGTTTACACACCAGAGGCTTTTGTCTTGGAACGAGCAGGAGTCTTGATGCCGGTGCTGCTCTGCCCCTGCTACTTAGAGACAGTGAAGACAGCTCAGCTCTGGACAAAAACACCTCTCTGGACACCAAGAAATCATGCTGTACCACAAGCCCTTCATGAGGATGGACAAAACCTTCAAGTGAAATCTGGAGCTTCCCCGGAGGCTCCCTCCTCTTTTGGTATCTCTGGGGGTCAGCCTCTGTCTTTTTCGTATTAATTAACCCAATGAACCAGCCTCTGCCTTTCAAAGGACTCTATGAGGGAAACTTTTCTGCCAAGTCTCGAGTCCTTGTGACACTCAAGAACACGGGCCAAGTTCTTGTGTAGGTTAAGGAAGTCCGTGAAGAATAAAGATTATAGGGAAACAGTCTACCTTTCTTTACAAGGCCTTGTTTTACATCCCTGAAATCTCAGATTTAGCTATTACAATGAAGTCCTGTTGTAGAGAAAGCTAGCCTTTTATCACCACTTAAAATCTAATTAGTCCATATTGAAGCACAAAGATTTCTGTTGTATTTTAGGGTGAGGGGTCATAGAGCCCTCTTTGTTCATCCTTAGATTTATAATCATCAAGCATTGGGGATATAATTTTACCAAGCAAATTGGAAGGTAACAGATCAAATCCTTATCAGAAAGCCTAACTCATAGTTTTAACAGAGTCCTTCGTCCTTTACATGAAACACTATATTCAAGAAGAACAAAAACACATTTAAGAGTGCCCAAAGACTTAATGGTCAAAGTTTATATTCCAGGCAGCATAGCACCGAGATCATCACACTACTGTCAATGACAAAAGACAGCAGCTCCTATAGAGGTGGCAAAAGTTTTAAGCTTTGCTACAATGGCCTTAGTCTTTAGAACAGCAACGCAACTGGTTGGACTTCTAGTATCTTTGCTGGGATGGGTTTTATCCATTATCACAACTTATTTGCCACATTGGAAAAACCTCAATCTAGACTTAAATGAGATGGAGAACTGGACCATGGGACTCTGGCAAACCTGTGTCATCCAAGAGGAAGGTGGGATGCAGTGCAAGGACTTTGATTCTTTCTTGGCTTTGCCTGCCGAACTCAGGATCTCCAGGATTTTGATGTTTCTGTCAAACGGGCTTGGATTTCTGGGCCTGCTGGTCTCTGGGTTTGGTCTAGACTGCCTGAGAATTGGAGAGAGACAGCAAGATCTCAAGAAGCGACTGCTAATCCTGGGAGGAGTCCTGTCCTGGACCTCAGGGATCACAGCCCTCATTCCAGTCTCCTGGGTCGCCCACAGCACGGTTCAGGAGTTTTGGGATGAGACTATCCCTGAGATCGTCCCCAGGTGGGAGTTTGGGGAAGCCCTCTTTATTGGCTGGTTTGCTGGATTTTCTCTTGTGCTAGGAGGGTCTCTGCTTAACTGTGCGGCCTGCTCAGCCCGAGCCCCTCCAGCTTTGGGCCACTACAGCGGCAGAAGTGCAAACTCAGTGTTCATACCTGGAAAACCGAACTGCAGATCCTAAAGTGTAAGACTTAGACAAGCTAGAGAGATGTAGCTTTCTTCTCTTAATTATGATGACAAAGGGGTCTTTGTTACATAGCCAAATCTGTGCCGCTACATTATCTTATTCAGTAACGATTGTGACTATATTCCCCTCCCTCCCCCATATCTGGAGGAATGAGAAAAAAAATTTACATAAGAAAACTATATGGTAAGCATTACATAGGTATGAGCAAAACATTTCCTTGATCTGGTTTTTTAAATCGAAATGTTGTGGTAGTTGTCCAATATATGCAGTCTTAAGTTTTAATGTACTAACTTTTACATTATAAAGCTTTTTTGTTCTTGTTGGTAGCTAGGAATGTTGTTTCCTAAAGAAAGAACTAACAACCTGAATCTTTTAGATGTTCTGCATAGCAAAATCACATGCTATGCCAACAATCTCAAAGTGGTATTTCCACAACAACTACTTTTGTCTTCTTTGAATAGAGGTGGTTTGTGTTTAGGAAATTACTAGGCACCCTTTGTGACAGGATATATTGGGACTGAAAATTTTTAGTCCACTGTAATACCTTCAGATTAAAACTCCTGGCCAGTCTGATCTCTCATCTCTTCCCCCAAAAGTTTCGTACTTAGAAAACAATGTCAAAATTATTTTTCTTGATATCCAGATATTGACAGTCCACTTGCCCTAACGAAAACTCTCATTTCTTCTATTATAAATTACAAGCATAGGAATATGTACTTCAGTGGTGAACAGAGATGCTGATTCTAACCTACAAAGTCCTATTGCTTAACTTTTCCACCGCATAGACAGTATATTTAAGCAAAGCAAAAAAGTAAAAAAAAAAGTTATGCACATGTGCATGAATTTGACAGAAAGGTACACAGATAAACAGATTTGCTGTTGTTCAGCTATTGTTTCATGTGTTATGTGTATATGTAGCCTAAGGGATGTTTTTTTAATAGGCTTGATTTAAGTACTAGAGAGATTTCTGATAAGATTGATTTATTTGGTTAAGAAATACTTTTCTTGAACCTATTTTTTAAAAAGGATAACAGCCAGTATTACACAACATACGTACTGAAAATCTGGCAGGTGCAATTAGTAAGATACAGAGCAGTAGGAGTTGAATCAAAACCATCAATTAAACATTCTGAATTTAGACTTAATTCTTTGATTTGTTAGAAAGGTTGGAAACTACACACAAGTCATTTATACTTTAACAAGGAAAGGAGGATTATTACTACTTCATTTATTTCCGTGACAAACTGCTTTCCACAAATTCAGCCCACAGGACACGAACATGATCTTGGCCACACCTTGGCATTACTGGTTTGCAGCGTAATTTCCCTATCGTTTTCTGAGACCTATTCAACATGGAATCAAACAATAGCTGCTCTGGCCAGAAGTCTCCTATATACACAATGAAAAAAAAAGTATTTCTGAGCTCCGCAAGTGATAAGCCAAGTGTCCCAGCTGATCTCACTGCAGCAGCAGGGCAGGCGTTAGCTTGGCTCCCGCTCACAGGACTCCACCATGACCTTGGTATTAAGAACTGTGGCACAATTAGCTGGGATTTCATTGTCTTTGCTGGGATGGGTTTTATCCTGTCTTACCAACTACCTGCCACATTGGAAAAACCTCAATCTAGACTTAAATGAGATGGAGAACTGGACCATGGGACTCTGGCAAACCTGTGTCATCCAAGAGGAAGGTGGGATGCAGTGCAAGGACTTTGATTCTTTCTTGGCTTTGCCTGCCGGACTCAGGATCTCCAGGATTTTGATGTTTCTGTCAAACGGGCTTGGATTTCTGGGCCTGCTGGTCTCTGGGTTTGGTCTAGACTGCCTGAGAATTGGAGAGAGACAGCAAGATCTCAAGAAGCGACTGCTAATCCTGGGAGGAGTCCTGTCCTGGACCTCAGGGATCACAGCCCTCGTTCCAGTCTCCTGGGTCGCCCACAGCACGGTTCAGGAGTTTTGGGATGAGACCATCCCTGAGATCGTCCCCAGGTGGGAGTTTGGGGAAGCCCTCTTTATTGGCTGGTTTGCTGGATTTTCTCTTGTGCTAGGAGGGTCTCTGCTTAACTGTGCGGCCTGCTCAGCCCAGGCCCCTCCAGCTTCGGGCCACTACACAGCGGCAGAAATGCAAGATCATTGTCAACAACTAGAGATGAAAAACACCAACTTGAAAAGCTAAGCCAGAAGGCATCAGTGGTATCTACTCTTCAGGACAGACTTGCTCAACTCTGGATTTGGTAGGAGTTCCTACCAACAGTCATCCATTCTCTTGCTTTCAATTTTGTAAAATGCAATTTTTTTTTTTTTTCTGTGATTAGGTTCTTAAACTGTAATTTCCTTCTAAGGCTGGTAAACCATTTTTATCTTCCACTTTGAGACCAAAACCAATCAAGACTTAATAGTAATCATACTTAGTACCATCGATGAGTTTTCTCAATTTTAAAATAGGCTCAGTGACTGCACAGACAGAACTGGTAAATAAAACATTATATTAGCACTTACGTATCTTTAAAGGTGTTATTCATACAGAGATGAATCGTGTTGGCAATTGAAAATATTATTGCTAATCATTTACATCTTTCAAGTGTTTGACATAACCTATTATGATGAAACTGAAGTCTTGCTACACATTTATTTAAAATGCATAACATCTGATTCTAAAACTACCTGCTCTTTAAAAGCTTGGGAGGTGAGAGACACAGGACACATCATGTCTCTTTTAATCAAAGACCTCCGCGCCTGTGTGAAGCCCTTTCCAAGTCAGCCACATTCATCCAAGCCTTGTTTACTATGTCAGAAGCAGAGGAGGGCACTCCTGTGTTTTTGAAGATTTGTGTAAAACCTGCCATAAAAATGTGGTTTTGCTTTTATGTCCTGTGCTCTGCATTTGATGGCCAACATCATCACCTGTCCTGGGCGGAGAGCAGCCACAGAGGGCATCATGGCGAGGACCTATGTATGTGTGGGCAGAGGGCTGTGTGGGACGCTGCCCTGTGTGGCTCTGAGCACATGTACAGCTGAGGCCATGCAATGACAGACAGCATATTCTGCAGCCCTTCACTTTACTTGAACAATGAAAATCTCCACCTTTTTTTTTTAAATAAGCAATACGTATTGTCCAACCAAGAACTATTCACAACAAGCTGCTGCTCTGGGAATGCTTCATGGAAAATTTCATATTTGCTCAGTACATGGTTCAAGTAAACTCTTGTGCTTGGGCCAATCAGGGAAAGCAACTGAACAATAAATGACACTGAAATAAAGTATTAGGCAATATGTATCTTTGTTTAAAAAAAAAAAAACCCACTGAATTTTTTCCATCCACAAACACATGGAAAGTGCAGAAACCAAAGTTAATGTATATGATATATTTGCATACTTTTACAAACATGACAAATTAAAACAGAAACATGTTCAGAATTCAACCTGATTAAATATTTAGTTCAGTCCTGAGCTTTTGATATTGAATACAATATAGATAAAGCAATAGCAAAAAAATTTTTTTTAAAAATTTATTTGATTTGCATGTTACAGAGTTTTAGCTAAACTTTGTTCATTTGGCTAGCAATATTCTTTCTGTACCTGTAACATTTAGATTCTGATATACAAAACTGTAATAATATACTGGTAATTCAAAGTTGAGAACTAAATATTACATTCTTTTTACCCTGTGCAGAATAAATTCTACCTTTAAAAATTGTATTTATAATATTAAAATTCATATTTGTCCATATGGTTTTGTGATCAAGTTATTAAATGTTTTGTCACTATGAATCATTTGGGTTAGTACAAATACGACAGATTGTTAAAAGCTGCCTATAAATACATAACACTATTGCTATTTTAAAAGTGTGAACAAAGGATTATATTAATATAAGTTTGTCTCTCATGTTGGAAAACGAACAAATTTTGCAGAATAAAACCTAAAGAACCTTGGTCACAACTATTAACTACCAGCCTGAAACAGATTTTATTCTTTAACACTTGTCTGAAACTTTTTGTATTACAAAAAGTTAACAGCTAATCTGATGAAGATTTATAAACCTGTAAATACTCCAATATAACCTCTTCTATGTCAAACATTTAAAATGGCCAGAACCAAACTATATATTAAACAGAACATAAATAAGACTGTAAATAAATAAATGAAGAAAATAAAATCATACTGTATAACTACACATAACTCTATAAACATTTTCATGGCCAAACTAAGAAGCTGAAAACAGCTGACCTTCATTTAACTGTATATTAAATAAACTTCAAAACATCTGTCTTTCACATTTGACCTTGACAAGGATGAATGAATGGTATTCTTTCTCTAGTTTTCTTTAGTCATCTAAAAGAATGAACTGGGCAGCCTTGAAGGATTGTACTCAGTCAGTTCCCTGGGCTGGTTTCTGGTCAAAGTAGTGTCACATCCAGTTATCTCTTCTGAGGCACTTGTGTATATGTGGTGGGGCACTTATGAAAAAACATGCTGTGACATCTTCATTAATGAAAGTTCTAGGCTCAGAAATTGCTTAATTTGATTTGATTCTGAAAAAATGAACTTCCCAAAATAGGTATGATTACTTTCAAGAAAATAAAAATCTTGCTAGTGAGAATTCTTTAAGTTTAGGAACGAAACTTTAAGTAGCTCTTTCTTTTAAGATGATTTTTGTATTTCTAAAAAAAAATTTTGATTTAGTTTGCTACATAAGATGATGAACCAAACATTGCTTCTTCCAGTACAAGAGACTGAGTAACAGGTATGCTTTAAATTGCATAAATATTTACTTTAGCATAGAAGGCTTTATGCTGGCAGAGCTACACTGAGGGTTGGTGCCTGGGTCAGATAGGCTTAAACTCTAAACTGGAGGACACCTTCTCAGTTTTCATCTCTAAATGTGTTCATCTGAAAGAGTTTTTTTGTTTGTTTTACAAACGATTTAGCCTGTACCTCAAATTAACAATTTCCCAGCCACACTCCTCCCTTTGCCTCCCAACTCTTTACCATAAATTATAGATCAAATCCCCTAAAAATGAGAGACGCAAAGTAATTTCTAGTAAATGCTAGACGCTGTGTGATAAAGTATTGCTTTATTTCTGGCAACTTTGATTCCACCAAGATTCCCTTTCCTCTGTTCCTGGTTTCACCAAATGAGCGCTGGTGTGTCTCCCTCCACAACACCAGAACTATCTGGCTTTGGCACACTGGCCACCGCATTCATCTACTGGGTGCCATTTGCACACCCAGGACATGACATCACTGGTACAAGCCAGAAACTCACATATGCACACTTGTGTGAACTCAGCTGAGTCAGAAGCAGCAGCTGCTCACCTGAGGATTTCAGTGTATTTTAGGGTAACTGTTCTCCTCCGCTAACCTCCCTACCCTCAATGTGATAAATCATGAGTCCTTTTATGGTGCAGGAGTACTGCTCCTTTGCATTTTTTTATATTCTTGCACTCAGTATTCACATTTTTGTTTTCTTTAGACAAATATAAAAGGACAGAAAGGAAACTGTTTCAAGGAAACAAAGAGTTCCACCACAGGTGATGAAAATAAACACGGCCCGTTTTAGGTGGACTTGGAACTCTGAGGTGAAACTTACATTCACGTTAAACTTCAAACTGAAAAGAGCTGCACTCCAGTATAAAAATATCACATGGCACTGCTGCCATCTTCACAGTCGACTCAAAAGAAGATGAAGGAAAAGCAAAAGCCACCTTCTGCTAAACAAGTTATTTCTCAACAGTCAGCTCAACAGGACATACCCTGGTACTGCCTCTATTCCATTTTTTATAAAATAAAGCAGAGGCAATGCACACATACTGTACAACATTTGTGTACCAGATTATTCCATTTTGGTTATCTGATTTTTTAAAAAAACATAAGAATTACATTCAAGGTATTTTACAAATTAATATATTGAAAATCTGATGTGAAATAAAAGCTCTTTAAGAGTTGATAACTATGTTACAAACAAAATAAAACAAATGTTCACTTTTTCACCCTCCCTAAGAAAGTGAGTGGGTGAAAAATAATCTCTAAACTGATACAATTATACATCATCAGCCGGCAGGGATGGGATGCTTATCTTTGCTCTGGTGAAGTAAGCAATCTTCTCCCTAGAGTCAGGGGTGAAAGATAAATCAACTTTAATATTATGTTGAAAATACTCTATGACCATTAAAATAGTCACCAAGAACTCCAGCAGTCTATCTACAAGCCCAGAGGTTAGGGGAGTGTCAAAAAGATGACCAAGATTGGTTAGTTACCAAAGACAGGAGCAGCATGTCTATTTTCTACAAAGTATTCACACAGTACAAAGAGTTCAATCAACACATATTTACTGAGGGTAAATTGTATAGGAGGTGCATGTAGGCAGTTGTAAAGAAGAATAAAGCACTGGTCTCCCTCAAGGAACCAAAAGGCTAGTTGATGAAAGAAGTGTAGGAGTTAGAAACAAGGACTAGGATAGAAAAGAAAAGGACAAGTTAAAAAATTGTGGAAATTGAAATGACAGCTATTTTTGTGGTGTGGTATCCTTTCAATTCATTTAATTCTTTAAGAGACAAAAATAGGAATTAAAAACGGCAAGAGTGTGGTTGTGATGTCAGTGGCGGCCTTAAGGCAGAGTTGAAAACTGAGGACCCTTGCCTTGAACATATCCTGCAGACAGGTTTTCTTTGAATCACATGGTGTTTTTATAAACACTCGAATTAGTTGCCAGTGTTTGCATTTGGGATATTACACGTAAAAATTACTGATTTCTGATTTCCCTTGAAAAACCAGAAGGTCAGTGTTATGGGTTGAAATGTGTCCCCCTAAAATGTGAGTCAACTTGGCTAGGCTATGATTCCCAGTACTGTGTGGTTGTCTTCCACTTTCAATTTGATGGAATCATCCTATGTGTTATAAATTCTAACCTCCATGATATTAATGAGTCAGGATAAAAGAGGCAGTTACGTTAATGAGGCAGGATACAATCTACAGGATTAGGCTGTATCTTGAGTACTCAGATATAAAAGAGAGAAGTGAGCAGAGAGGAGAAGGACCTCATACCACCAAGAAAGAAGAGCCAGGAGAAGAGCGAATCCTTTGAACCCATGGTCCCTGTGCTGAGAAACTGCTAGATCCAGGGGAAGACTGATGACAAGCACCTTCCCCCAGAGCTAACAGAGACAGAAAGCCTT